AAGAGAGAGATAAGTTTGTTCCAAACCCAATTTATTCACCTGATATTGCACCCTCTGACTTTTATTTATTCGGCACGCTAAAAAAGAGAGCTGAAGGACGCGAATTCGCGAGTCCAGATGATCTTGAAAATTTTGTAAGAGAGCAATTTGAGCAATTTTCTCATGATGATTTAAAGCGTGTTTTTCAAGCCTGGATCGATCGCTGCGAACGCGTGATTGAATCCAATGGTGATTATATTTAAATAAACTTTATATATATGTATCTTGTTTATTTCTATTCGCAGTATTCAGGTTTGTGCTAAACACACCTTTGGACACCCTATATATTGACCCTTCAGAAGTTTTCAAGAACGCAAATGAAGAAGTTGATATCACTTTTGATATGATTATTCCGGTAAATGATTTGTTAGCATTTCAGGCGTTCGATGATTATCCTAAATCATTTGGTGATATCATTCTTAAATATTATGTTTTCAGGGATACTTTAGTATTTTGTCAGGTTGACCCGTTAAGAGTTGCTGATTTACAAAATTACGTTTATGAAAAGATAACTGATGAAAATTATGAAAAGATTATGAATCATGTTTATAAATATGATCGCAAATTCCAACAAATCGGAATTCCTACCAAATTAATTACAAGCTTAGCCACTACATCTGCTGACGCAACAGTTGATGACGTTATTATTTCATGCACAAAGATGGAAGTTTTAGAGGATAAATGCATTACACCAGGATACGGTTTAATTGAAGAATCAGTTAAAGCAATACCACGTTTATTCAGTAAGGAAGATCCATTCATGATTCCAGCTCAACATATTGACGTTCGTTCACTAAATGGAGGTTGCATCACTCCTGAAGGTATCAGCTCAGATTTCTCATACGCTCTTCATAATGTTACAGATGTTGTGTTAGCATTTCCGAAGAATGCAATGCAAAGAACAGTTTTAGAAAATCCAATGCTTCGAGGTCTTCAGGTCACTATAGATTCCAGAAACTTCCCCGATCAAGCGATGACAACAGTGGGTGACATATTCTTTACACGTATGCTTCAAGCTTCTGATTTAGATGGAGTGAATGAATGCACAGAAGAATACGAGGACTCATTAACTAGACCACTGAATGCAGATGATGGCACGCCATTAGCTAGAACATGGAAAGACCAAACTTCATTCTTATGCACTATTCCAGTTCAACGTGATGGAGCGGGTATATTCTTTGATGGATTAGAAACTTTCAACTCACAAGTTACAGTACAAGTGAAAGCTTATCCAATCATTCAGGGTGAAAATGATACTTACTGTTCAAAGGTGACAAATCCTCCTCAGGTTTGGTTTACTAGGACTACATATTGGACATGGACACCGGATGAAGGTTTGAAATATCATCCAACAGGTACACCACCACAGTATAGAAGTTCATATGATGAAATATTGATGAATAGAAATGTTTAAAATTATAAATTTATTTTTGATTAAATGGATTTAAATTCATCCACTCCTTATGAAGAATTAGCGGGAGTATATAATACATACGTAGATGAAATGATTAATGAAGCATTGAGTGATAATAGAAATGCTCTATCTAAGGAAAAATTAATGAAAATTCCATATTCTGAATGTTACTTAAATTCAATCACTGCAGCAATTGGTAAACAAAATAAAGGTAAAACATTAACGATATTAAAACAGATTATCATTATTGCTAACACTTCCCCCTATTCACATGTGTTAATTTATATCAACCGTTCAGGTTCACCTTCAGATGATACATTTGAATCTTTAAAGCATTTAATCAAAATTCCAATTATTTATTTATCACAAGAAGAAGCAGAAGATTATTTAAAAAACTTTTTAATGTATAAAGAATTATATAATACAATCAAGAAGCAAGGATTAGAGGATAAAATTATTGATAAACAACGGGATGAATTATTTGAAACACTTTCTATTTCAAACTTTGATAGAGAATTTTTGCATTCACTCATTTTTCTAGATGATGCGGTGAAATCAAAACTAATAACAAATGAGAAATCATATTTTAATCAGTTATTAACTCAATGTCGACACATTCAGTTTTCATTCTTCATGGCTGTTCAATACTTAAAAGCATTAAGCACAAACATTAAATCAAATCTATCAACCCTTTTCATTTTCAGTGGGTTTAGTCGTCAACAGTTGAACGTTATGCTTTATCAAGTGAATTTACCAATGAGCATTAATGAACTTTACACACAATATCAGCAATTAGGTGAACATGGAAAAATAATAGTTGATTTAAATAAAGGAGGTGTTAAATTTGATTAACTTTTTATAATTAATTTTTATTTTTATTTATAATTAAACATGACAGAAATAGCAAATCTTCTACAGGTTCCATTAAAACAAGGAACAAACAAAAAGGGTGCATATAATAGAACTATGAAAGTTCCTGATGGAATGAAAGAATTAGTTCATATTGTTGCTGGTCTTCAAAAAGATGTTAAACAAATGAGAAACGTTTTAACATTACCAGAAGCTCAAGCATATGCCAAACGTCAAGGTCCAAATTGGGAAGCACACGAAGCAGACATTACGGGTCCAAATGGAAAACCTGATGGTATAAATGAAGTTTTCGTTACTGATGGTCAAGGTAATATTAAAGTCATAAATGGTTATAAATTAACTATAACTGATTATCCTAAACGTAAAGCATATAATGAACGTTATCCTATGCAATTTGATGAAAATGGAAAAGCTGTTAAACAATACATTGGAGATGGTGAAGATGGTCCAATTAATTCATACCGTTATAATCCATATTCTTATTTCAATGAAGAATTAAATGCTATTGAAGAGGGATCGGATGGATTGCCACGATATTCTAACAAGTTTGATGGTCAATATGCAAATATTAGACCTGAAATTTCAGCTAAGAAATTCTTTAAAGTTGCTTTATTCGATCCAGTTTTCGCAAATGTTAAAGATGAACTTAAACAGCAATTCCAACCAATTATAGTAGCAAGAATTGCATCAGGTGCTTTATCTCAAGCATTCAAAGATTTAATTAAGAAACCATTATATCAGCAACGAGGTTTAACTTATGATTTTGTTAAGGAATCGGATAAAAGAAAATTTGAGAAATCAGATGATTATAAGAATGCAATTAATGAATATATTAGGTCTATTAATTTCAATGAACCAGCTAAAAATCAACTTCAAGAACAAATACAGGGAATAATAGATTCAAAAGTTCCAGCAAAATAAAAGTTTAAATATATTTTTTTATTCGATTATAAATGAGAAGACGTTTCACTAGTCAAAACAACACTAACGCAAAAGCAGAGATTACGGTTGGTTATAACGTAAATGATGATAAATCACGAATTATTCAAAATGTTAAAGTTAATGTTAGCCCTGAATTAACAAGGTCAGCAACTCAACCAAATTTATTAACTCGTGACTTACCGAAAAAGGAGGAGGAGCAAAATAAAGAAGATGGAGACCCAATCATTTTATCTGAACCCGGTAAAGAACCTGTTGAAATTCCCACTTATCCAACATACCCCCGCCTCTTTCATCAAACATCGAGAACCCATATAAAATAGACATTAATTCTGAATTAATGAAAATTTACCGTGATATAATAATTAATAATTATGATTCAATAATAAATTTAATTGATCAATCCGGTTTAATTATTTTACCTTATGAATCATTAATTCACATTATTGCCATTCTTTGTGATGTTCAAGATTCAGACGTTAAGATTCAATTTTTCATAGATGATGAGGTTTCATGCTGCGGAACAGTTGCAAAAATAAATCCTATAAAGGATATTAGCACAATTAAGATATCAAAGAACGGAACAACAACTGAACTTCATTTAACATATAATGATATTTATAATAAAATAGTTGATGAATATAAAATATCACTTGAAAAATTCTTTGTTAAGGCTATTTAATATTCAAACATTAACATTATCGAATAATAATCTTTTGAATCATAATCAATAATAATTGACCTTTCACCAGTTTCTATCGTTTGTTTTATTTCTTTTTGTTCTCCACTATCCGGATCGGTCATTGTAATTGTTTTTGTTATAATATCAGCTTTATCTTTAACTTCAATCTTTTTTTCCATCGGGATATTTAAACCAAAATTCCAAAAATTCGATATTGTCAATCTGTTCATATTTTAATCTATCAATTACATTTTTAATACCATCTGAAAATCTTATGAAATGGTCATTATATGGGTTTGATTGAACTAAATTTGAATGAAGTGAAATATAACCTGTTGATGAATATGACACTGACTCATATTTTCTGAAAACACTAAAATTTATAACATGAATGAATTTCTTATTCGTTGAATTTATGAATTCTTGAGGTAATCTTATTCTAGTTTTATTTATCACTGGAAAATAACGCTTTACCATATTTTAATCGTAATAAAAAATGTCAATTATCAATATTATTTCGAATAATAACTGTGAATTAAATTTAACAGTTAGCGGAATTTATAATGTTACTCTCGTTTCTGTGAGTGGTAAATTTAATCCCATTCTTTTAGACCCTTCAGATTATATATCATTTATTAAAGATGACCATGAGCCGCATAGCGGCGGGGTCGTAGACCTTGAAAAACGTATGATATGTATATAAATAATGTGATAGCGAAATGGGATATTAACATGATTTTAAGTTATTTAAATGAATCATTTATCGTATGGTATGAAGAAAATTTTAAATCAAAACCTGATAAACTTTTTGAACTTGATGAAATAAATAACCTTATTAAATTTCCGCTGAAAATTAAATTTTGTACTCCTCATCTTCGTTCATTGTTGGGGATATTAAATTTTGAAAAAGATGTTGGGGATGTTTTGTATTCTGACACTGGTTCCAATTTCATTTTAATCAAATGTGATAAAGTTAATACCCCAATGAGATTTTCGCATCAAACATTAGACCATAACTCTTACCCATCAATACAAAACATTTTATCCATCAACTTAAACACATTTTCTTTATCATATCCGTTTCAATTATCCGGGAATTCATTTATTCTTCATTCAAAAGATTTATCAAATATTAAATTTAGAATAACTGACCTATTTGATTGTGATTTAGAATTTATGAATGAAATATTATGGCAATTTCAAATAGAGAAAATAGCTGATGAGATAACGGATTAAATATTTATTTTTAAATCGTAATAAATGATTAAACAACAGCAACCACAACAACTTAAGGCGCAAAGCGCCCAGGTCCTTCAGACCATTACATACGCCACATATGCATATAATTCAAAGACGGCAGAACAAACGCAAAGGTTGAAATATGGAGATTTGGAGATAGTATTGAAAAATGACCATTTCGAATTCGTTTGCAAAGGTGGTGCAGTGATATCAAATATAAAAGAAATTTTATTTATGAATTCAAAAATTAAAGGAATAACGGATGATATAACATCAATTCCACCAGAAGAACAGAGATATTACGCATTAAATGCATTTCCTAAAGTTTTGAAGATTGGAAGATTTAATTTAAATGAGGAATTCATAGAAGGTTTCCTAAATGACATAATGAAGAAAGCAGATAAGGAATACGTTAATACTGAATTAATAAAGAAAGCGGATAAGGAATACGTTAATACTGAATTAATGAAGAAAGCAGATAAGGAATACGTAGTTAGTATGGGTTAGTTGTGTACTGAGGCACTGCGCGCCTCCGTACACCACTTAGCGGTTTTGACACTTTAGAAAACCGTTAACGTATATTTTACAACATGAACGCAAAAACTAACTTAACCTTAAATATTTACAAAGCCGCAAATCATTTCACCTCACTAACGAACTCACTAATGAAAAAATAAACGTTCTCATAAATTTTCTTCAATATCTTCATCATCAGTGTTAACTCTATTGTAGTCATACTTGAAGTCATAAAGTTTCTCAAGTTTTGAAATGCATAGTCTTGTTAACTTACCTTCATCATCATAAGTTTTTATAAAACTACCATGACAATCTTTATAAACAGTCAGTGTATAGTCAACTGGTCTAGGATGAAGTGTAAAGAACATGTTATACTCAAGAAGGAAGAATAAATGTTTAAATGTATGTTTGTTATATGTTTTGATTTGTATGAGTTGCTTTTGTTCTGTCATTTATATAAAAATAAAATAAAAAATAATTTTAAAAAAATAAACTTAAAAATAATGATATCACCACTCCCACACGTATGAAAACATAGCACAAAAATAAATTTAGGTGAAGTGGTGAAATCTCACCTCTTTTTTCACCCGGTTTTTCACCCTGTTGAATTCATTGCTTTATAACTCTCTTCCTTTCTCCAACTCTTCTAACTTCTTCTTAAGTTCAGCAATGTTGTCCTCATGAAGTTTAATCTTTCTCAAAATTCCTTCTTTATCTAATGGTTTCTTTATCTTTCTAAACTGAACTCTACCATCCTTCATAGTATGAATGTAAAAACCTTCTGGAATAGTTCCTGATTTAATGTATTCTACCAAAAACTTTTGTTTCATTGCTTCAGTGACTTTAGTCGTCATTTCAATCAAATAAAAATTTTAATATTAAATAAAAATAACGTTATTTTTTCAGTAAGGAAACGCAGGAGTTTTACGATTTATTTGAGGAGTAGGTTCTGGTTTAAATGTTGGAGTCGGTTTAGGAGTTGACTTTTGAACAGGAGTTTGTACTTCCATAGGTTCAGGAGTCATTGAAGGTTTTGCTTGTGAAGGCGTTGGTTTTGACGTTGGTTTTGACGAAGGTGTTGGAGTTTGTTTAACTTCATGTACTTCAGTATTATTTACAACATTTGCTTTATTTCTTTTCAACATCATAACTGCTCCTGCTGTAGCTAGCAAACCTAGTGGGAGACCATATCTTATATAAGGACTTGACCAAATGCTATTTTTGACAGGAGCTGGTGGAACACCTAACCTTGGTGAGACTGCTCTTTGCCATTGTGCAGCTCGTAAGAAATATTCAATAGGTGCTCCATAATCGTTTGGTAAAGTTTGTTTCATAGATGGTGAAGGTTCACGAGAGCTTGATGAAGAACTCATTTATAAGCTTTAAAATAAACGTTCATCCTTTATTCCTCACTGTCGTCCGCAGCTAAGTTATCGTCATCTAATCTTATTATTGGGATTCCATTAGCACGCACCTGAATGGCAAAGCAACAATCCCTCATAAATCCAATAAGTGGCTTTGGTACATTTTCAGTTACTAGTTCAATAGGTCCTTTAACAGACAATTTGTATGTTATTGGAGCAGTAGATGTTTGACCTTGCTGGAAGCAAAAGTCCACTTCAGTTGGAAAACCACATAAGAAATGTGTGTTGTCATAGCTATCCCATTTATGTTCCACACTACCATCATCCACCAATGACCTCATAACATCTTCATTAAATCCTATCATATCATTGTTTGTATTGCAAGCGTTCGCAACCATTTCATAAAATACAGGTCCATATGATTTTCAGGTTCTGCAGGCATATTTCCATAAGCTCCCATGGAAAGCTGAAGATATTTAATCTTAGGGTTCTCAAAATTAACATAATAGTTGTCTTTCTTTCTAAATAGTGCCCAAATACTTTTAACATTAATAGGCGTATAAGCTGCTGTAAATGTTGCACTTGAACTATCTGTATTCTTTGAGAATGAACCGTCCATAGGAATCCAATCCATAACTTTAACAGGAAAACATAAAGCCTCGTTTGTATAATGTTCTACAAGTTCTGTATAAATGTTAGGGTCTAAAGAGAATGACTTTGGATGAATGAAACATTCATTAAAATCCATCTTTGTTCGAAATAGTTGCTGGGTTACAGTTGTAGTAGTAACTGTTCCACTAGCTTCTACTGCCTTCGTTATCATAGTGAATGGTTCATTCCATGGAACAAATTTATTTGTCGGTGGATTTGAATCTGAAGCAAATGCAACTTTAAGAGTTGGATTGAAAGCAATGATATCATTTACAGATATAGATGTGCATTGTAAGGCGTCGCTACTGAACTTTACTTTAAGCTGAATGTTTCCTGCAAAAGCTGGAATAAATCGAATAGCTTCTAATGGAAGGAATCTTCTAACAGGAATTCTTAAACGAAGCTTAAAATCAAATGATTTTCCTGCTGTAATTGGACCACTAACAATTTGTCCTGTTCTGCATGTTCCCGAATGACTCCATACATCTTCATGTCGAGTCTTTGAGAAAACATCTACTTTCTTTATTTGTTCGGTAGTTTGTGAGTTTGAAGTTATATATGCTTCTTCTCTTGCGTTGTCTTGAGAATATACGATACGACCATTTGCAAGGATTTGATATCCAGCAACTGCATAGAAAGCGTCCATCGAAACCAATCCAAAATCCTGGTGGGTTTGTTTTATTGGAACCTGAACCAATTTCTTTATCTACAATAAATTGACCTTCCATTTTATACGTAATGAATGTATTGTAAAGGTCCAACATATTTTCACCAGGAGGTGAGAGATTGAATGTTACCCATGTGTTATCTTTAGCAGTTCCAGGTTGTGATGGAATCTTTGCGTCAGAATATTTTCTATTAGTGTCACCAATTTGAACTGCATTGTCTATGATATCGAAATATGAGCAAATCTGATGAATATGCTCTGCTGGAGTAAATTCGTTTAGCTGTTCGTTCTGCATGTATTTACTTCAGATAAAAATATCTATTTACTTCATTATTCTCACTCTTCTTCTTGGCATTCGTGGTGGAAGTTGTTTCTTGACATTTTCAATGAACTGTACATTCTCTTTTGTCTCAGCTTCTTTCACTGGCGGGTCAGGATTCTTTGACTCGGTTTGTTTTTCAATGAAATTCACGAACTTTGCAATAAGCTCTTGGTTCGTTATTGAAAGTACATCTGGCTTCTTTTCTTCTGGTTCTATTGACTTTTCAGTTTGAACAGAAGGTTTTATATGGGCTTCGCCCTCGGTGCCATGCACCTTAATGTTGTCGCTCTCTGCATTTGCTAATGGAACCTTTCTTTTTCTTACATATATTTTACCATCTTTACTCTGACTTACGTAATAGAAAGGATGTTGTATTCCTCTGGCGTCATTTAATATAATAGACTCTCGTTCTGATTTTGACAAGCTCATTTTACATCGGTTAAAGTTTTAATTTAGTTTTTTATCTGCAGTCAAATGACTCAGACAAGCCCTACGGACAAGACCCAAGGGGTCATAGATGTTGAAGCATTGAAGAAAGAAATTCGTGAGCAAATTTTATCCGAACTGAAGGAACAAAAACAAGAACAAAAGCCAGAGAGACCAAAGAGAAAACTTAGTGAAAAACAACTTGCTGCATTAGCTGCTGGAAGACAAAAGAACCCAAGACTACTGGCGAAAAAAGCTAGAGAAGAAGCCGAAGCAAAGAAAGAGTAAATGGTTTATTTTTATTGGAACTAAATGTATAGACAAATACCTTTATCTGTTGCGTTCACTAGTGAAAACCCTGACGTCAAAATAAAGGGGAACAGAGTAACGTTTAAGTTTCCAACAGACTGGATTGTGAACATAAATGAAGAGAAGTATGTTGGTATAACAAATATGTATATAACACGTGCTTTCAGAAAGGTTGAATTTATACTTCAAGTCGAGATAGAAAATGACGAACAGTCTTTAAGCGCCCAAAACATTCACATATACAAATACTTTAAAGACGATACAACATTGTTGCAATGTATGATTTCATTTAATGAAATGTTTGCAAAGAAGTTTAACATTGAAGTACAAACTTTACAGCCTTTACGTGAGTTTCTTGCACAACTGAAAGAAGAAGGTAGTCAGCCACAACTTATAGACTTTCATTATGAATTTAATGAAAATGAAGATGGAACACATGACTGTCAGTTTGTTGTATTCTCACCATTCAATGAAGTCGCTAAAGAGAAAGAAAATCCATTACGTATAAGATTTCAAATCTCTGAACCCAATGAAGACTTCAAGAATGTTTTCAATTATGATGCAATGCTTCCGAGGAAAAATGAATTTTCAAAGATTGTAACACCTGGCATATGGGATAGAAAGCAAGCTATATTATATTCAAACTTAAGTAAGGGAGTTGAAAATGAGTTCATTGGTCATACAAGAACTACACCACTTCCTAACCCTAAATACTATAAATTAACTGGCTTCAATCGTGAGTTTTGGATAGACATGTTCTCCACTCATGACCATAACTGCCCAGTGTTCTTACCTCCAGATGGGAAAGATTGTCTTTACATCGAAGCACAATTGTTAAACTCTACAATAGCTGTATTGTAAATGACCACATGGGCTTCGCCCTTGCTGCTATCGGCTTATTTTTATCACGAATGACCTCAGAACTTCAACTTACGAATAAAGCTTGTTTTAGTCGTTATTGAGAAGTTAAACTTTTCAGCAAAGCAAGGTTGACATGACTTACACAAGTCGAATGCAATCTCTTGACCATCATGAAGTGCTTTATATAACTTCATAACACTGAACTCAGAGTCTTTGTCAAATTTTCCTTGCGGAACCATTAAACCTTTATCTTCATCATAGAAACACTGAACAGAGTCAGGAAACATTTCATTAGCGGTTAAAGCAATAACATCTTGCTTCACGCCTTTCATTCTGCAGTGAAATGCAACTTCATTTAAATCGTTAGTGAGTAAGTCTATGTAGGTCTTCTTTCCACAAAATATTGACTTGTATGCTAAACTTTGTTTACCTTTTGTGATTTCTGCAAAGTCGCTATGAAATTGACCTAATGTTTTACCGATAAGTTCTCTACCGTATCTCTTCTTAAATTCATGAGCTAAACGTGGTATGTCTTCATTGAAAATATGCATGCTATCACAGTCCTGGTAAAATATTTGAAGACCCATGTCCTCAGCAGTACAGAATACTTCATTCATTATTCTCTTCGACATTGATAGAATATTAACACCTAAGGGGCAAAAGTTAAAGTGTCTGCAAATGCTTTTCGTTAGCTTGAAAATAGTCTTATCGGAACCATCTAAACCTTCGAACTTCACTATATGGTTGTAATTTCTTATAGCATATCTTATAGCATCTTTGTCATCTACTATGGTTATTTTTGACTCAATAGGAGATAAAATGGTTTTGCCATAGATACTGTTCAGAATGAGTTTTATAATTTCTTGTAATGGGTTTTCTTCTTTCTTATACTTTAACCTTAACTCAAACAACTTCTTTACTTCATCTCTTATTCTCATATCTCTGTTTCCATCGTAATAGTATCCTTGCAACACTTCACATTTGACACCTTGGTATTTTATGAGGTCCTGTAATGTTATATGGTCAACATACATGAGACAGCAAGTGTTTGAACTTCTGGGAACGTTAAGCTCTGGATTTAGTTCAGGGTCGCAAACTATTAAAGGAAAGTTTCTGGGTATACCAATCTCTGTTATCTTAATGAGAACAAAGAAGCCTGACATAAACTTTTCACCAACGGGTTCCTTTTGGTCGTCATCGAATAAATGTCTCATGAGATACTCTGTGCTTAACATCTCATCCTTCAATACTTTTGGAATTCCTTCTAAAGTATAAAGTCTTGCAATTGCTGATGGATATAATGAAACAGCGTCGAAGTCAGCAATGAGTTTCTTTTTGCTCTTTTGTTTAATGTTATCTGACAACATACATCTTCCACCTTGAATGCATCTCGAAATAAATTCTCTTGGTTTATTTGAGAGGTCATAAAGATTTCCATTCGGGAAGTACACTCTGTTCTCAAACAATTTGTTAGCAATAGAACAAATACTAACGTAGTCATAAACGTTTAAATCAAATTCTTTTAATATGTCATTGCGGAACTTAACAAAACCTTCTCTTAAAATTCTTACATCTTGTTTGCAATAGAATGTGCTATATTTTTCTAAGTCGAAGTGGTTTTCATCTATTCTGCAACCTTTGATGGAATCTATGTTTTTCATGAACGTTTCAATATCTTTTACAAACTTACATGCTTCAGAAATGACACCAGTTCTGTTGTCATTTGCTTCACAACATTAAATTTTATCCTGTATGAAATGACTTTAAAAAGATTATTGACTGACTTCGAATACTATCTCATTGACGCACTGACAGACCCTCAAAACTGTGTTGAAAGTTCTTTAAGCTTTAAGATTGAAGGTACGACGCATTTTGTCTTCACTTACGTATTGAAAGAATATGACCGTTATCATAACGAAGTGAATCAAACACTAATAAAATTTGTAGATAAAAAATTGGTTAACAATGAATATTTTAAACGTGAAGACCCAAACACTGCTGGAGATGATGAAGAATACAGACAAGTTATTGAAAAAATAACGCAAGATTAGATGCAATAGAAAAGAAGTTTAATGAATGTCTTACAAACACGTTTGAATATCTTATGCGGTGGGAAGCCAGATGGAAATAAATTTACGTCAAATATGCAATTTATAAAATCTTATGTCGACAGGCTACGTAGCACAGTGGTCTAAGGTGGTGTTATGGAGGGGTCAGGGTCTGTGGTTCGAACCGCGACAGCGCCGTATTTTCTTATTTTCTTTGTTTGTCTTGTTTGTCGTGAATAAAAAGTGTCATAAAAGTGCTCTATCTTCCACGGGAATAAGGGAATAAATAAAAAATTTACTTTATTTCTTCTTTATTTCTTTGTTCCCGTGGAAGAAGGGTTTTGCCGTTTTTTCTCAGCCGAAATCAATGATTTTTTCATTTTTGGAATCCTTAGCGAATGAGGAATCTTTTCTCTCGTGAAAGCTTTGACCAAAAATATATTTTAGGTGAAGAGGTGAGATTTCACCTCTTTTTTCACCTAATTTTTCACCTCTTTTTTTCACAAGCGTTTTACATGAATTGTACGATGTATATTTGAAATCCTAAACAATTTCGTAGCTTCAATTTCTTCTTTTAGTACATCAAAAATTTTAACGATACCGAAAGTTTCTTTATACTTCTTCTTGACATCAGATAATAGGAAATCGTCAGCAGTTGGATAGTTTTTATTCAGAAATTCTAACATGTTCATTTTATTTTCTGCCGGTTTCTCTGCTTCTTTCTTTAAGTCAGCATAGTCGTTTCGCATACGTTCTATCTCTTTTACTGAATAGTTATATTTCCTCATTGCTGCTTTACATTTAGAACATTGCGGATTCATTTTTGCGTTATATTCTGAAACCTTACCTGCTAAAACAACTAAGGCGTCAATGGTTTTCTTTAAATCTGAAGCAGTTGGTTTTATCTGTTCATTCCATACCTTACCTCTTCTATCTTTATCTCTTATCTGCCATATACATTTTGCAACTAATGAAACAAAGTTGTCGTATGTCTTAAACTCCCCCGATTTATAAATATCTGAAATGTTTTTATAAATCATGTCGCAATCTTTGTCCATAACTTTATGGTTGCAATGATATCCTAGAAACTCATAGTTTACTTTACGTATGAACTTCTTTATTTCTACTGAGTCAGTTGCTTTGACTTCAATTTCGTCGAATTCAGGAATAGTGAGCTTTTGTTGTTGGATTTCAGGCAATTTGGGTAAATGGTCAATAATGTCCTGCATGTCATAAAGATACTGTTCATTTGTTTCATCTTTCGCACTACAGTCTAAATTACTTGTTAAAAGTTCCTGCTTAATTTTTTGTATTTCTGTTTCGAAAGTAAATGAAGAAGGAATGAAGCTTTCCATCTCTACTAACATAGATGTTGGATTCATGACTAACGAGTTTGGTGCTGTTGTGGACAGAGTCCTGCCGTTCGCGGCTTGAATTGTTGTTGTGCCGATTGTTGAAATCATATCTTTTATACAAAATAAAAAAAGAAATAAAAATAAAACTAACTTTATTTTTTATTTCGGGAAAATTCATGAGGGTAGAAATGAGGGTAGAAATGAGGTTAGATCTAACCATCTTCCCTAAACATTATTTTTGCTGAATTCAGCAACAAAATGAACGAGGTCAGGATGTATGTAAATACCTTTGAATTCATTTATAATGCCCTTAGTAAGCTCATAAAATGCTTGTTTTGAGGTCGAGCCACTTTTGGCTCCACCGTATTCGTTCATCCAAAACTCAAGAATTTCCTGCATGAATTTTATATAAAAAGCAACAGCCCGAATTCCGGTGGTTGCTATATTCTTCACAAAATGCCTTTTAATACTCTTCCCAGGACTTATTTTCCAACAACTTTCTAAAGGCTTTCCTAAACTGACGGCGCAAAGCGCCAAGACCGAAGGTCCTGACTGACTGACTGACTGACGGCACAAATTGGCTTAACGAAAACATTAATATATAAAATTCATGAAAATTCAAGAGGGTGAAAAAACAGGTGAAAAAAGAGGTGAAATCTCACCTCTTCACCTAAACATTATTTTTGGTGTAAATAAATGGTACCATTAATGATATCATGACTGTTCTCATTCATGTCTGATTTACATCTAATGAAAAAGTTTAGAAGAATTTTCTTATTCTTTCTGGCATATTTTTGTCTTTCCAGTACTCCCGCTCTAATGGTCCCAGATGTGTTGGCTTCGACTCTCTCAAGTTCTTAGATGGTATAACATCTTCAACGCCTCCTTCATATCTTACTTTATAAGTGTCATCGTTTATGTTATAGTCAAGTATTTCAATAACCACTCCTCGCTTTGCTTCGTCAATGGTTTCAGCAAGTTTGCCATTACTACTTTCGACTAATTTATGACGAGGATAAAACGCAATAGAGTCGTCGGCAGCTTTTATAAGATATCCATTACCTTGCGTAGAGTCTACGATATAATAATTTCGACTTAACCTTAAACGTTTCTTTGTCAACGGTTTGTCGTCAAGAACTACACGAACTTTTGTACCAGGAATGAGGGTAAATTGTGTTGAATTTCTGATATTTTGTGTTTGACTTCGTTTCTTTTGTATATACTTTTCTTCTTGTTGTTATGTCATTGAATTTGGTGTATGTCCTGTTGTAGAATGTGTTGAGGAATTGTAAACTTCTATGAAATATTTCATTGTTTCTTCGGTAAAGTCTCGCTCTTGATTTAAATCTCTGAGAGTCCTTATGAAGCGGTTTATGATGCCGAGTATGTTATGGTTATGGTCTTCAGTAGTGTAGTGAGTTATGTTATGCTTAATGAGAAAATCTGTGATTTCATTGCTGAGGTATGCACTGTCTTGGTCTGATGTTAAAGTACTTGGGCTATGTTCTGCTACAAACTTTTGTAAAACTCTTAACACTTCACGAGTTCCTTTATTCCTCATTGGATATGCATATGCTTTGCGAGTGTTAACATTAATGAAGATGAGGAATGGTTTATGTCCTCCTTTTCTGCTTTGAATGAGAGTGTCAAATTGGTATGCGTCAGGAGTGTTGGAGTAAATTGGTAAAAAGTAGTCGTAAGGGTTTATTTTTGTTTGATGTACAACATTTTTGTCAAAGAACTTTTTAACTTCAGCTCTGTTAGTAAATCCCCAACTCTTTGCAGCTTCATTGAACTTCTTAAATGACCTCCATGGATGTTGTTCGAATACTTCTTTCAAGCTCATTTATGTAAAGTTAAAGATTTTATTCAAGACGGTAAGCCTTGACCCAAAGGGTCTAGGATCAAGCACGTTCATTGAAGAGATGGATAAAATGCACACATTTGCACACATTTTGACACTTTTTCTGACAAGCATCATTCAAATTTGAAGAAAAACCTCTAAATTTCATTCAAATTTCTGTCAAAATGTGTGCAAAATTGAAATAGGCACACATTTTGACATACGATTATTTATATACGTTATTTTAATGGTTTCAGAGAAATCTTCGTTACACATTATTGAAGATTACTCAATATTTAAGTGAATGACTCACTACCACCTGTTTAGAAAAATGGTAGCATAAAATCCAAATGTCACATATATTATTTTTTATTTCATACAAATAAACTTACAATTATAACCTCAACTTGTTTGCAAAGCAGAAACTCAATATAAGCAATCGATCAGTAGTGTATTTAAAAGTCGAATTTAAATTTAAAAATTTATAATCTTATTTCGGAACCAAATAGTATAAATTTAGGACAAAAAGCTACGTGGTGTTGATAACAACTATTAAAATTCAAATATTACTACCATGAACAATACAATGGCTCATATTGATAATTGATAAACGTGCATATAAATTGCATATATCATCAATGTCATTAAGTAAAATACATGTATATAAATAGATTAGAAATATTTTTCGGTTAGAATTAAAATCTATGTAATAAAAAATAAGTTATAAAAATAAATACCGAATTTTTATTTGTAATATAAACTGCTACAATATGCTAGTGTATACAAATGTATTTGTCGTATTGATTTGAAAGATCTTCAACATGGTTCAGATCTAAATTTGAAACTCGTAAAATAAAGCGAATCTTTATTTGTAATATAAACTGCTACAATATGCTAGTGTATACAAATGTATTTGTCGTATTGATTTGAAAGATCTTCAACATGGTTCAGATCTAAATTTGAAACTCGTAAAATAAAGCGAATCTTTATTTGTAATATAAACTGCTACAATATGCTAGTGTGTACAAATGTGTTTGTACAAATGTATAACTCTTTGTCAATTGTTATGGCACCTTATAACTTAAAAATCATTTTCATTAACAAATATAAAAAGTGACAATTAATATTTTCATTAAATGCATATTTAATTATCAAAACAATGTCGATTTAGCTTGAATGTTCATTATAAATGTGTAGGGTTGTTAAAAATATCAAAAATTAGCGTTTTGAAGACACCATGGTGTCTTATAATTTTCCCTTCCTTATTGGCGTGTAGAAATAAATGCGCCAATAGATTGAAGAAGAAGAATTGTTTTTCTCTTAATGAACTTTAATCCTTTTGATATAAGAATATTAAAAACATTAATATAATTTCGATTGGGCGCGTAAAGGGTTGGCGTCCTAAGGCGTCCTGATGTAAACTATTCAATTTTTGAGAAGTTTACACCATCATTGAATAGTTTATGGCGTCCTGAGAGGAGATTTCAATGGGTATGGCGTCCTAAAAAATAGAAGAAAATGATTTTTTCTCGATTTTTCTAGAAATTGAATTTTTTAAAAAAGAAAAAAATCAAAACATATACATTCAAGAAAGACTATAAATGAAGATTTTTCTATTTTTTTTCATTCTAAAACATCTTTTTTTGGATAATTTTTTTTAATAAATATGTAAGAAAGATTGAAGAAAAAGTAAATTTACTTTAAGAAAATTCGTTTTACATGATGTAAGACCCATAACAACTATAAATATTCAATTATTTAAAATAAAAAAAGAAAAACAGATTAAATGTATCTCACATCAAAATCCATTGACCTAAGGATGTTAAGTTTCTGTTTTTAAAAGTTGATATTTTTTTTTTAATTTTAAGAAAATTAATAGCATGTTATTAGACAATAGGAGTGTAATGATATTGACTAAACAGAAATGAGAGAATAGAGATATAATTTTGATAAGCAATATTGCGAACAAATTCTGAAGTAAAATCGCGATCAATAATTGAAAATTACGATCATGTACTGAAAAATGACGATCGAATTGAATGAATAGAATTATATCTAAGAAAAAATAAATTGTATTTAGAAGATGAACAAAGAAAGGTGTATGCTAAAAATCATTTAACAATAAATGGAAATAAAACGAAATTGTTAAAAGAAAAAAATGAAAATTGTTAAATAATATATTATTTTTTAGTCATAAGAATAAAAATATAGTAGTTATAAAAGGAATTAGACTTCATATATCAATTCTTTTTCTCTGTAGATGTGGAACGTTTGCTTTTCGATCTCTTTCGATGAACTTGAAAATATAAGTTATTATCGCTGAGAATCCTTTCCGAAATAGGAGCTTTACGTTTAGGAGGATTGTCGGATGAATTTTGTTTTTTATTGTTTGATTTTGTTGTTATGGAAGATTTTTTCTTATTTTTTTCAGAATTTTGCTTGCTATTAACTGAAACTTGTTTTGACGGCCCAACAATAGCATTTGTAGTAGGAAGAATTCCCAATAACGAGCGCATTTTCGATAATTGTTTTTCAATATGATCAAGAAGGTCCAGCTTATGTTCTAGATTACTAGACATTTGATTTGTAGAAGGATGGTTTTGATTTTCTGGTTCTAAATCTGTAGAGTCTGCAATATTTGAATTTTCGGAGCGAATTGGAGCATCTGAACCTTGATTTGTATCGGCTTGCTCAAAATTAGTTTGAATTGGAGTGGATGAATTAAAATCTGGATGATTTAATGTTTCATTAAATAATGCCATAATTTTTTCTCTTTTTTCATTAATAAACTTAGTGATCATTGTATCTTTATCTGTTAGATCGATCGATTTGAGTATATCTGCATCATGAACTGGAATATTTTCGAACAATGAACTCGATTCTATGGAACCATATGGAGAAATCTCGTTCTGAGCCAAAGAAAGATCACTTACGTTGTATTGTTTGATAGAAAAAATTGTTTTCTCAAGTTCTTTTTGAAAGCAGTCAAGAATATAATTTTTGTAGCTATCAGTGATAACGGTTTTTATATGGCGCTCGATCTTCTGGTTATTTTTGATGGCGTTATATTTATCTAATTGGATTTGAGATATCTTCTTAATAGCTTCATAAATGTTTGGATGTTTTAACGAAGAAAATTCTGAATGCATACTCTCGAGGCAATCATTAGTGAATATTGCAGTTGCATTATTATATTGAGATATTAAATTGTAGTGCGGCAACCAAACTTTGTTGAAATAATCAATATAATCTTTGATCGAATCAACTTTATTTTGATTAATTATATGCATTGTAAGTACAAATTCTTCATGAGACATGAATGGAGTAATAGAATATAGCTTAAATAAAGAATTTTGTAAAGTATTGAAATTTTTTGTATAAAGTGCTACAAGTTTCCTGTGTAAAGCTTGTTTGAAATGAAATAGGCATCCAATTATACGGACTTTAGGGAAAATTTGTTGAAGTGCCTCTATCATTCCCTTTTCAAAATCACAATGAATTTGAATTAGCTTTGAAAATTGAATACCCTTGACAGTAAAAATATATTCAAATGCCTTCTTATAAGATTCAAATGTGCGGTTTTTCATGAATATAAATAAAAGTGGTAGATATTGATTTGTTGAAGGTTCACAAATCATAATTGTTAGCATCTGTCCTTTTTGAAAATGTTTTGGTGTAATTTTAAAAGTTCCATCGCAAAATAAATCTGTGGCTTCTTTTGCAAATTGAATTGCCTTCTCAAAACCAAAAAACATCGTCTCACAATTTGCTTGAAAATCATGGCCAATGAAAAACTGCTCGCCATTTATTAAACAAAAATTAGCAATTTCATCGTCTGTAATTTTTTCTCCAACAGAAAATTTTCTGGACTTATTATAAACTTCCCTGACCAATGAATCTTTAATTAATGGGTTTTCATCAGTACCAACAGCAAGTTCTGTCATAAATTTTTTAATCTGCTGAAAAGTGCCGTTGTCTTCAGAAAATTTTGCCATTGCCTTATTGTATATTTCTGTCAGAGTCATTGATTTATGAAGATCATTTTTTTCATTTTGTAACTTTTTAAATTGTCTGCATTCGGGTATATGTTCCTTTTGTAAATCTTCGGAAACTGAACTGTTCTCAATTTTAACTAAATAACGTGCTTGACAAGAATGATCGATGCAACGGTAGTAACGTTCAATATTATTTGAATTAATAATATTTGTATGATCATGCGAATAAAGCATATCTTTGCGAACAATTGTATCAGGATATTTTCCAGTAACTGCGGGAATATTTTTAACTGCAATATAACTAAAATATCTTCTGACAGCTTTAGATTCATTTTCGGCGTATTTAATATTAAAATATTGAAGAACTTGTTTGATTATATTCGTTTTTTCATCTCTCGATGTTGATTTTTGGTATTTATCAGATTGTTCCCTGATAAATATTTTATTTTCGTCTGTAAAGTTTGCTCTTTTTTGATTAAATATAGATGATTTTCCCATTAAAAAATGAAATGATGCAAAATTTACGAAAACCGTTCGAAAATTGAATCAAAAATGAAAAGTAATACTTAAATGAGGAATTCTTTGAGATATTGGTCTTAGATTGAATGTAGCGTCATTCTTATATAGAATATATATTCATATCATCGGAAATATGATAAAAAGCATATAATAAATGTCAAAAAAGTGAACAAATAAGCAAAGATATTTTTTAAAAAACAATGAAAAGTAATACTTAAATGAGGAATTCTTTGAGATATTGGTCTTAGATTGAATGTAGCGTCATTCTTATATAGAATATATATTCATATCATCGGAAATATGATAAAAAGCATATAATAAATGTCAAAAAAGTGAACAAATAAGCAAAGATATTTTTTAAAAAACAATGAAAAGTAATACTTAAATGAGGAATTCTTTGAGATATTGGTCTTAGATTGAATGTAGCGTCATTCTTATATAGAATATATATTCATATCATCGGAAATATGATAAAAAGCATATAATAAA